ATGTGGGTTGGGGCAGCTGAGAGGAGAAGGCTCGAGCTGGGGAGACCTGCTGGGGGCTGCCAGGACTGCCAGGGGCCTGTCAGAGAGCTGGGGACAGACTTTAGAGCAGGGCCTGTTGGGACAGGACAAGGGAGGATGGGTTTAACCTAAAAGAGGGAGGTTTAGACTAGATAGAAAGAAGACTTTTTTTCACACTGAGGGTGGTGAGACCCTGTTGCAGGTTGCCCTCCTCCCTTGAAACACTACAGGTGGGGTTGGCCACGGGTCTGAGCAACCTGCTCTAGTTGGGGATGTCCCTGCTCAGTGCAGGGGCGTTGGACGAGATGAACCCAAACCAATCCATGATTCACCCAACAGAACAAAACCCTTCCCTGTTGGCTACAGACTCTCACTTGCTATGATCATGCTGATCCTGGGCTTGGAAGGTACACACACGTTGGTCAGGCCCTTCTGATGTGGCCTAGAGTTGGCAGGAGGCTGCCAGAAGAGTTCTGGAGCAGTCCTGTGCTGTGTATGCTCCGTCGGCAACAGCTGTCCCAAAGACCCTCCTCCCAGCACAGCGTCCCTCCCCTTGCACGTGGGTTTCCCAGGCTGAAGCAGGGTAGGAGCTGCTCCCTGCAAGCCCTTCCTGTCACATCTCTTGTGTTCTGGCCAAGAGAACTCGCTCTTCCAATTTGTAGAGCTCACTGCATCCTTGTAAGGGTTGTTTCCCACAAGCAGATAACAAGACCTTCTCAAACCTCCTTACAGGCTTTAGCAAGGCAGCACCTTCCTATCCTTGGTACCCAGCACAGAGAGTGATAGAGTACAGCCCGGGAGCCCAGCATATCCTGCAGATTATTTTATATTGCATTGCTCTGACAAGTTAACCCCTGGAGGATTTCTGCTCAGCAAGGAAAATTATGTTCAAAATCTCCCTGATATACACATTGCCAGGTTAGCATCTCTGTGACAAAGTAAATGCAGAGCTGTGATCAAACTGGAGGTACAAAGCCTACGAGACAGATCCTCAGCTGGTGAAAACTGATGTAAGCATTATTAAAGTCAAGGGAACTATAATGGAACTACTGACAGTGGCAGAGAACTTGAATTTGGGCAGCATTTAAAGCAGAATATGAGGCTAGTGATAGATGAGCAGCAGAGAGAATCTGTGCTAGGAACAGCTGATGAAGGAGAAGTGATTCAGAACATGGAGACATGTTTGTAACCTGTGTTCTCACCAGATTAAGGTACACATGGGGACTGGATGTTTAGTTGTGGTGCTTTAAAAATAGACTTTTTATCTCCCTCTTTAAGCCTATGTTTAACTACTAAACTACACAAGCTGGTTCAGCAAAAATCAAGCCTCTGCTGCAGAGTTTTGCTGTGCTGTGTAGTGCACTATTAGACGCCCATGGAATCCTCCTGGCTTTGCTCCTGTAAAAAGTTTTCCATCTGGGGACCTTATGGAGGAGTCCACACATCACATTTCGGCGATGAGAGGAATTTGATGGCTGAGTTGCAGCCCCCTGAATGACAGCACTTAAGAGAGGGGATGCTGACAGCCAGCCCAGCACACCTCATGAGGAGCCCGCTGGAAATGCACCTTCCAGAACAGGCAGGAGCTCCTGTAACTGCTCCTCTGTGGACTTAGATTTACCCTTGTAAGTTGTATCCATTTTTATATTCATCTTTTCAACAGTTTATCGTTTTCTTCTTCAAACAACCTGTCTTATTGTGACTCTTTAAGAAAAAAAGCTCAAGTATAATCAGGTCAAACATTAATATTTGATTGTATATTAAATATTGAGGGCATAGGCAGATGCACACAATACTAACTAAGATCATTGTTTTTCTGTTTCAGTGTTTTAGGAGAGGATTGGTGTTCTAGTGATTAAAGGATATGACCAGAACACAGCAGATCCATTTTTCTGCCTCTTTTCAGCTTTCCTGCACCACCACAGGCAAGCAGTTAATCTTTGTTGGTCCTTCTGTGACAGCATCTCATGTATAAAATGGAAGAACCTGTCCTGTAATGGGTTGCCCATGTCCAGGGCAGTGAGACCCTCCGAGGCCTGGCTTTGTATGGATAATTCTTCCTGTGATAGCTGTGAGGTGCCTGTACCCAGCCACGCAGTATTTTTCACATGACTTGACCCTCCATGATTTTCACCTGAGGTTGTACCTCAGCACTTCATAATTATGAAGGACTTAATACAGCCTGACCCCGTGAGCACCAGGGCTGGCAGCTCTTGCTGCTGCCACTAGTTCTGCTGGAACTACATCTCCCCATGCTTTTGGGTTGCAGGATTTCACACTCCTTGGTCTCCTGGGCTTGATGTTAACATCTCTCTGTTTCTTAGGGTTTTGCCAAGTGCAAGCTGGGTGGAAGGGAAGGTACTTAGAGGAGAAATTCTCATTTATAGAGGCAACTGCAGCTCAAGAGGGAAGTGGTTTTATTTGTGTCTCCAAGCCTATCACATTTTCTAACACATTACCTACAAACTTTATGGGCGCTTGGAGAATGTATTGCAATATAAAGTACTAAAAGTAACAAGAAAACAATAAACTCAAATTATCACAAAAAAAAAAACCCTAACATATTTTTGTTACGATGCACAGGAATACCTTACCTTACTTAAACTATATAAAATTATCTAGCATTTATGACTGAAAATGATAAACTGAACTTTCCTTTTCACTATTTTACACATATTTTTGTTATGATGCACAGGACTACCTTACCTTAAATTATATAAAATTATCTAGCATTTATGACTGAAAATGATAAACTGAACTTTCCTTTTCACTCTTTTACATTTTTCTGCTACACTCTACCCAACAAAGAGCTGCACGTTTCTTTCAGTGGAAGATTAATTCAAATTTCTCTTACCCTTTGCCCTTCTCACAAAGATGTGTTGGAACAGTGCAACTTTGATGCTCGTACTTTCTGATAAAATCTGATATAAATTGGCCAAGAGGTTCAAAAGGTATGGTGGAAGTTCTGAAGAAGATTTACAGGCAGAAGGACCTTGACTGCCTGAACGAGGCTTGCCTAGGTTAAAAATCAACACATTTTCACAGCAGGATCAGGGCAGTTTTCTGATAGCACAGCCACAGAAAGAAAAAAAAATGCCACCATGTTATTTTCATAGCTTAGAAGTTGTTTTTACTGCTCTTAGCAGCAACAACCTGGGGGAATTGATTACACAGGTGAGGCTCTACCTAATAGCTGTGTTTATCATTTTGCCTGCCATGGTGGGAGGACTGCAGGTTCTGGAACAGACAGATTGAAAGTTGTCTGTTCTACCCTCGCTCTAACAGCTCGGCGTCTTCTGCAGAGTGCTGTTTGGTGACATATGGCAGCAAGCACCCACTCGCTCCTCAGAGGATGCTAACAGATATCCCTATGCCAACAGCAGTACAACAGGCATAGTATATTTAACTTTCTTCTCTTCTGCTGGCTCCTACAGACATCTTCATGTCCTTTTTTTGTGGAAGCACTCTAATTAACACGTCACAGAACCGCACTGCAGGCTGGCTCAAGTCGCCCCTGGATGGTACAAGTAAGTCCTGCACTTAAAACAGCTTCACTATAACAGGATGGCTTTTCTTCACGGAGGAATGCACATTTTTATTACTTCCTAGGTCTCTCTCACTCCATTCCTAAGCCTCTTTCAGCCCAGGCACCACCAGGCACAGCCGGTGGCTCTGGGTGACGCCTGTGTCGAAGGCGCTGTGAGAACGAGGCCTCCAGAAGCAGAAAATAGCAGAAAAAGAACTTCACACTGAAATCTGCAACAACTGAAGAATTATCAGTCTGTCTTTCTCTGCCTCAGGCCTGGTGCAGCCCCTACAAGCCCTGTACCACACGTGATCAGTGCCACTGCCCTTGGCGTAAGGTGTGCCAGAGCCTGGGGAGCTAACCTGGCCCAAGGCTTTAGAAACAGGGATGTACTTCCATGTGCATGGGAATCTTCAGCCTGTTTCTCCTGTTATCCCTCAGGAAAAGGAGGCAGGTTTAACTGCTCAGACATCAGATTCATCTTTTCCCAGAGACCAGTGCATTGCCTTAAAAGAAAAGGTGTTTCAAAAGCTTTTGGCCAGATCCTGGTCTCACGAGCCCAGGGAGAATTCCAGAATGACTTTGCACTGCACTGGGGTCACTTTGGTGCAAAATCAGAAGAAAGGCCTCATCTCCTTGAGCTTGATTCACAGTGGGTTTTGGTCAATGGATATGATTTCATTATCTTAACTGTGGATCAGGCACCTATCCTAACAAGAATCCTGTTGTCAGTTGAGCTTATATTTCATTAGTGTACCTTGTATAATTGAAGACTTAACTCTTGCTGCAGGCTTCCAGGTGTGCAGTTGGGTGGTTTAGATGGCCAGATGTTTAGTTGGTAATGAAACACTAATTTAGCATGTCTACTAATAAAGGGTATATAAAATGGCTTAAGACAGTACCAGGATCTTCACAAATTATTGGTTCTTTCTAAATTCCTGAAGTGGCAGATTTTTGTTCCAACTTTTCCACTTTTGGAAAAATTCTAATTCATTCAAGAAGTGGTTAAGTTTCTACCTTGGAATTTTAAATAAAAAAAAACCCTCTTGGACCTTTATTATTGAGTTCAGCTTTGATTTAAAAATCAACAGTTATAATACACAAAGGTTATTTAATCAGGATTGTTGGTAGTAAGAAGCTTAAAAGAAATCCTTGCATTTTGAATATCTGAATATGATTGGGTGCAAACAAGTATTTCAGCTGGAATATATATCCACCCCTGAGAACCTGGCACACCTTTATTCTCCAGACATGCTTAACAGGCTGCAGAAACTTTAGTGTGTACTATGTTTGCCTTCAATACTGGTAGTTCTGACAATTCAATGAGATGGTCATCTGGTCCCATCTGAGCTTTTTCTTTCAGAGCTATAATGTTCTTCTAGCAGAGGTGGATATAGGGCATGAAATAAGTTGATAATCCATTTAAGAATAAAAAAAAAGGTGCAACAGATTTATTTGCTACTCAGCTCATTGGCTTCTCTTGATACAAGATGCTCTCCTTGTCCTCTGGGATTATCTTGAAAATGAAAGGTTACCCCCAGCGAGAGGGAAATGTAAAATAAATACTGTTATAAATAAAACATCTCCCAGTCTGCAGAACAATACTATCATGTTCCTCTGCTCAATGCATCCACGGGCAGGCTCGTATCACAACAGCATGAGCTCTAATCTGGAAAAAATATTAACATGTGTAGCAACGATTCCTTAACACCTCTGCACAACAATGATGCTATCTCCTTACACGTCCAAATGTCACAACTGCCAGCGTGGCCTTCAAACAGCAAGGGGCTAAATAAATACAGCAAGCAAGCCAGGAGTTGTCAATACTGATTACCAAACCAAAGAGCCCCTGAGCTCCAGCTCCTCCGGCACGACTCCCCATCACCTACCTGTGTAAATAAACCTGCCTGGTGCTCCTTTGCAGAACTGCTTGGACTTGTATGATAATGTCACTTCCACCACCCCGGGAATGTGGCGTGGAGGTGTCTGAACTCGGATGGCGTGGGGCGTGATGAGCTGGGAGACAACAAAAGGAGAGGCACAATTACAACGAGTCTGAGTGACTCCCTCTGCCTTCACCTCCCCCCTCCAAACATGCTTTAAGAGTAAACCCCTGGCTTCCCCCCATATAGGAGATGAGGCAAGTGGTACATCTGGTCTAGTTTCCTGCCTCCGACACATTTTAGGATAAATTGTCATTAGGAAAATTGTAGTGCTTATGCCCATTGCTTCACTGCTGGCTTATTTCTGAGCCCAGAGGGAATTCTTTCTCCTTCCCAAAGCCTACCCCTTTCTTCATCTCTTCACCTTTACCTGCCTCCCAATCCCTAGAACTGTTCACATCCATTCTGGATACTACTGAGCAGTTGGCATCAATAATGTCATGTAGCAAGGAGTTCCAGAGAGAAAAGATCTTCCATTAATTCTTTACTATGAGGGTGGTGAAACACTGGCCCAGGCTGCCCAGAGAGGGGGTGGAGGCCCCATCCATGGAGACATCCCAGGTCAGGCTTGATGGGGCTCTGAGCAACCTGCTCTAGCTGAAGATGTCCCTGCTCAGTGCAGGGGTGTTGGACTAGATGACCTTTAAAGACCCCTTCCAAGCTAAAGCATTCTATGATTCTATGAATTTCCTTCACACGGGTTTATGGTGCCCACCTTACACACCACCATTTTAGTACTGCTACTGGAATAGGAATTAACACTGTCCCCCCCCAGATTCCCTCAGAAAAGGAGTGTCCTTTCAGTTCAGCATCAAGGAGGCACCTCTACCCACCTCACTCCACACCAGCATGGTTCCAAACACAACTTGCAGCCCATCGAAGAAGTTGTCTCCAATAATGATCACCATGGCTCCCCCCGTGGTCCAGCCTTCGCTCGGGCTGATCGCTTTGATGCACGGTGTGGCTAGACAAAGCAAGAAGGAGCAAAGAGCAGCAGGTTATGGCCTTTCCTTCCCCATGTGGTTTTGAGACCCTTGGCAACACTGGGTGTATACTTCAGGGCTGGCAGGAGCTCCCCAGTGCCAGCAAAGGCCTGGGACAAGTCCTCTCCAGCCACTCACCCATGGAGGCTGCGTCGACGTTCCACAAAGCCCAGTAAACAAACAAATAAATAAATAAAAGCATGTTTTCTGCCTTGCTAGTGTTAATTACTTGCCTATTCATTACTGGCACTTAACATCGTGTCATTAAAGCCTAATAGGCCAACTGTAGTGGGTGTAAAAGTGAAACGCTTAAATGGTTGTGCAGAGGCAGATTTTTTTAAAAAAACCAAACTCCTCATTAGCATGTGACCCCAGAAAAGCTAAACTCTGTGGAAAGAGAGGTAGATTAAGATTTATTAAGTTTATCAATAGGTAAAAAAGATGTGGGAATATCAAATGCTTCCTCCAATTCCTATCAGGAATGAATTTCTAATAATTTTTTTTTTCTTTTATAGAGCAGATTTTTTTTTCCTTCTCTCTTCCATATGTTCAAGGCCTCTGGACTATACATCCCATCAGGAACCCAATATGGTTTCCAGGCCATAACCAAAGTCAATCCATCACTCCATTCCCAATGTTGACAGGGTCAGAGGTGGAAGGGAACTTTGGCAGTGCTCCAAAAACATGAGACTCCTTTGAACAGCCAGTCAATCACATCCAATCAGTCAAGGAAAAACTGGATGGCTTCCTAGGCTAGGAATCCTGGGATTTTCCTTCTACCATTTCACTGCCCGCTGGGGGAGAATTAACACCACTCTGAATTCTTTACTGATTCAATCATTTTCTTCCAGTTCATTAATTCTTCTTTTGGGTTGATATAGGGCACAGTTAAGAAGTGGGGCAGCAAAACATTATAATGAAATTATATCCTTGCTTGTCTTTTCTACTAACATCACGAGCTCTTCTCACTTTCACTGGCTGCAGGGGAAGGAAAAGCAGACAGATAACATTTTCTAGTCACTCTGAGTACTGTCTGCAGGAGAGGGGTGGAATGCCTTGGTAGTGGATGCACGGGCAGAGGGAGAGGAGGGGGCAGCTGTTTTGAAGCTTCACAGATACAAATATTTGTAATTGCTTTAATAGAGTCCAAAACCCATCCTGTAGCTGGCCATGAGTCTTGCTTAGCCAAACAAACTCCACTCAATTAGTGTCAGCTCCCTCCTGTGCACTGCCATCATCTGCACACGGGTTGTTTGAGGGAACCAGTGACATTTTTTCATACACATCTCGTGCTGTAACAGTTCTGTTTAACTAAGATGTCATGTTGCCTCATTTGCCTGGAATCAAATCTATCCCAGCTGAACCAGAAGTCTGAAATCTAGATAATACTTAGTGTTTCTGTGTTTTTATCTCTGCAGTACATACTAATTAATAAATGGGGGGCAGCCAGGCTCCTAGATGTGCAGAGGATGACATTTTGCATGCAGTAGAGACTGCTTTGCTGCCTCTTCCTTCTCGAAACCCCCTGAGGTTCTGTAGTTGCCCCTCAGCTCTCCTTCCCTCCTGGAAACAAACAGAAATTCGTTCTTCATACGAGTCTCCTACCTTCTGAGGGGTCAAGTCTCCTCGCTCTCCGTCCGTGCTTGGAGTTGTTGTGCACAAACATGTTGTCAGACACTGCCAGGACGTGCCCATCCACATTCACTGTTGTTGACAGCACGACCTGGACGTTTTGGAAGGGAAGAAAAAAGAGGCAGGCAAACAATTTACTTTGAGATTCAACTTTTAAGTAGCAATTTTTCAGTTTCATTAAAAAACTTGTTCTGTTTGTAAAACAGCATCAAGTCCTGCAGGGTTTACTCCCTTGCAAGAAGAGGAGCAAATACTTCCAGCCTTCAGCCTATGCATTAATTCCATTGAACACAGCATCCTAAGGGCCACATAAAGCCCTTGCTGTAAAATGAACCAGCTACTGCAGATGGCCCTAAATTTCATATCCTATGATGCACCGTGGCATAGCTGATGGCAAAGGGGCCTGTATATACCAACCAGGGGGGCAGGCTGCAGAGCACCACAGCAATTTGCCCTCTGATACACACATGCAGATTCGGAGCCATCTGCTATGCTGTGCTCACATGCAAATGGATCTGCATCTGCTCCAGGAATACAGGTCTCCACTGACCGAGCAAAATGGAAACTCCCACCGCTGAAAACAGCACTGATGTCCTGTCTGGCTTTTGACATATGCCTGCTTAGAGCCTCTTGAAAATCATCTGAGCCCCTGGACCCCAAATCAGGCAACAGTTTTTAAACCTTAGCCCCCATGACTTATGTTGCTGGGCATCAATTCTTAGAGGAAGTAACTGTATATGTTAATTAATCCCACGTAGTTTTCCCTTTACAATACGATACCCAAAACTGCAAGTCCTATAAATATACATTCCTTTAAGCCACAAACTTTTAGGAAAGAAAAGAACAAACTGTGTTTTAACTATGAAAATAAAATGCATCTTAATGAAACTTTCAGGTTTCAACCATTAATTGGTGTAAAGCAGCTTAACCCCATTCAGCTGCCACCAAGCTACAGTAACTCCCAGCTATTGAGAGTGTGACCCTGGATATGTTCATGAATTTTCACAGCTAGGGCTGTCACAGCCTAGGTAAGAGAATATCAACCTCTAATTGTTGATAAAACCATATTCAGCATAGAGCAGGAGAAATCTTCCCCTACAGGAGAAACCCTGTAGCAGAACCCTACAGGCTTCTGCTAGCTTAAAGAATACTTTTATTCTTGAGACAAGTTTAATTCATTCCAAAAGGCTCTTGTCATACTGTGCTCTTATAGTTCCCAAGAATTCTTGTCACAAAATGTGTTGCTTTTGTGTGCCAACTGATTCCATCATTGCACATTTGGGTGGAGTGAGCCTCCTGTCCAAGGCGAGCGTTTCCCGCATGACATCGCTGAGCCCACTCAGATGCACTTCATTATTTTCCATTAAACAATGGAAATAAATTTTAATCTCTCACTGGCCAGCACACTGTGGCAACAGGGGAATAGACCTGAATTATTCCAGTGTCTGAAATATTTACGACAAGTGTTTAAATTGTAACCAAATGTAAATAAAAAGTATATCATATCTATACAGTTACACCACGGAGTATGTAGGTATCTGAGCTCACACACACAAGGCACCTATGTGATAAACACACCCCCACGTGCTCTCAGGATGAGATCTTCATAAAACACACAGTGCACACACATTCCCTGCTGGAATAACCCCGTGGGTGGAAATGTTGTGTGCAGTAGGAGAGCCACACTCAGCAGAGCTGGAGACATCCCCACAGGGTGAGCAATAGCAAGAGGCAGGGCTCTGTTTAGAGGGTCGGTGCTGAGCATCCTCCACTCCCCCGGCCAGCACGAATG